TTGCTATTTTTTTCATTTATTTACAGATTTTGAATGAAGATTTTGGGTTTGATACAAATTGCAATTGAAAGTTATAAGTTTGTTCCTGTAAGGGATTGATCAACCTTTGCCACTTTTAAGTTTTGTTTACTACATTTTATTTTTAATTGTAGAATGAATTTGAGGTAAGTTGTGATAATTGCTAACTTGTCATAGTTTTAATTGTTTGAAAGTTATAACGATTCCAAGAAAGCAACTATCTGGATATCAAAAGAGGAAAAGGAAGAAAAATAATGAGGATATGAGTCAGTCTTTAATAAGTTCAATGGATAAATTCATTATTAAAAAGTATGACGTTTCACTTGATAATAACATGATCGAAGATAATCTAACTGAAGTAGAGTCGATAAATAACAAAGAAAATGTAACATATAATGATGTGAATAAAGGTACCAATGATCAGGGTAACAATCAAAATTATAAATATGAGGCTAAAGCTTTTGAAGTTGTTGGTGAAGAGAAAATGTTTGTAAATATCTTTGATCCTAGAGTTTGGGATTCTTTAGATGATAAAATGCGATGTTTACTAGTGAAAAAAGGGGTCTAAAAAAGAATCCAAATTTGAATATCCTCTTGAAGGAATTTTTAGGCATTTTTCTAATACATTTTATGTACGAACAATATCAAGTGGATAGAACTGTAATAAAAAATGGTTAGTATACTTGAAAGAACTATAAGGTGTTTTGTTTTTTGTTGCAAGTTATTTAAAAATATGTTGTGAAGGAGTCAATTAGGTATTAAGGCGAACAAAGATTGGAAACATATGAGGGCAAAGCTTATTGAACATAAAAATAGTATTGAACACCTTTCTAACACGAGAGCTTGGGTTGAACTAAAGGTTAGATTGAAAAAGAGTCAAACAATCGATAATAATTACAAGATCAAATAAAAAGAGAGACTTCACATTTGAGAGATGTAATGCTTATAATTATTGTTGTTGTTAAATGTCTTGCTACAAATAATATGGCCTTTCGTGGAACAGAGAAAAAATCCATATGAAGATTCAAATGTTAACTTTTTAGGCCTATTAGAGATGATTGCGGAGTTTGATCCAATACTACGAGATCATTTTCAACTTGTTAGAGATAAGAAAAATCATTATCATTACCTTGGTTATAAAATTCAAAACGAGTTGATAGCTACTTTAACATCTAAAGTCAAAAATGCAATTGTGAAAAAATAAAAAAGGCCAAATTATTCTCTGTGATACTTGATTGGACGCTTGATGCCATTACAAAAAACAAATGACTTTAATTATAAGATGTGTTGATGTGTCGATCAATCCCGTACGAGTTGAAGATTTTTTTCTTTAGAATTTATACATGTGGAGGATACTTTTGGGTTGGGGGTATTTTGTACTCCAGTCACTTGATCTTGATGTTAATAATGTGAGAGGGAAGGACTATGATAATGGTGCTAATATGAAAGGAAAAAACTAAGGTGTTCAAAAAAGATTACTTGACACAAATCCTAGAGCTATTTGCATGTCATGTGGTGGTCATTGTCTTAATTTGACACTTTCTAATAGACATGGCCAAAACTCAGGCCGGGCCCGGGCCCGCCCGACGGGCCGAAGGGTTGAGTTTCATGGACCCTGAACCGGCACGGACCTAGGGTCGTGCCGGGTCCATGGCTCGGCGGGCTGGGCCGGGCACGAACCGGGTCTAAGCCCGCCAGATTAAAAAAGAAAAAAAAATCTAAAAACAATGTGCTTTCCCGTGCCGGACTGGACTCGGCCCGGGCCGCCGGGCCAGGGTCGACAAAAACAAGGTCCTAGACCGGCCCGGTTGTAATACGAGCCGCGCTCGGACCCGTGGTCAACGGGTTTGATCAGGCCGAGTCCGTGCCGGGCCGGCGGGTCGGGTGGCCGTGGCCACGTCTACTTTGTGATATGGTCAAAACTTGCTTAAAAGAGAAATCTTTTTTTTGGGCATGTCAATGCATATATACTGTGTTTGTAAATTCATGGAAGCGCTGGAATCTTTTGCTTAAATATGTTGACGGTTTAACTTTAAAATCACTTTCTACAACACGTTGGGAGAGTCATATTGAAAGCGTCGAAGCCATAAAATCTCAAATTTCTCAGATAAGGGATACTTCGTTAAATTGATTGAAATTAGTGAAGATCTCAAATTGAGTAGGGATGTTGGAAGCTTAACGTCAGGTGAACTTTTTAGTTTTGAATTTTGTTGAGTTTGGTTGTTTGGAATGATGTTTTGGATAAAATTATCTTGGTTAGTAAAACATTACACTCTGAAGACATGCGTATTGATGTTGTCGTGAAATGTTTGGATGGACTTATGTTATACTTGGAGAGACATAGGATTAGCGGATTTGATTTCGCTAGGATTACTGCTAAAGAGATTGCTGATAAAATGGAAACAGAACCTGTGGAAAAACGTCATATTTGTGGAAAAATGTATTTTGATGAAATTTTAAACACTGATGAAAGAGACAGTTCAAGAAATATTTAGAACTGATTATTCCCTTGTTATAGTCGATAAAACTATTTCTCAATTAAAGATCAAGTTTGAACAAATGCAAGTTTTCAAATCTATGATTTGTTTTCTTATTTGGTGCGGCAACTTTAGTTTCACTAGATGATAAAGAACTGAAAATATCTTGTGAATCTTGAAGTAGATTTAAAAATTGGTGATGTTTCTGACACTAATTTGCAATGCTTATGTTTCGAATTACAAATGTTGCAACTAAAATTACCTAATGAATCAAATGAAAAAAAAAAAAAATGAGTCATAGACATCTAAATAATGCAATTAGAAAAAGATATGGAGTATATTCCCCCATGTTATGATCGCTTATAGATTAGTATTGACTTTGTCTGTAACTGTAGCATCAGCGGAAATGAGTTTATCTAAATTGAAGTTAAAATCTTATTTGGAAACAACCATGATCAAGATAATCAAGATAGATTGAACGAGATAGCTATTCTAATCAGAAAGGATATTCCCAAAAATCTTGATTTAGAGATATAATTGAGGATTTTGCCTCTAAAGATACCCTACCATTCATATAATTTTTTATTTTTTTTAATTTTTTGCAGACAACCCCTCTATACATAATTCTCGAATGTGTTGAACTTACATGGCAGGCTCGCATGCTTCGAAAGCTTATTTGGCATAAGTTTGTGTTTTTTATTTACATATGTACAGACTTGGTTTAACAGCTAGGTTCGGGAATCACCATAAAATTATTTGACCTTTCTTTTTCTTAAATTATCATATATTACCTTTCATATTTATTAGTTACCATACACTACATTTATTTTTCTTATTTAATTTGTATATTAAATATTTATTATCCTTATTTTAAAAAAAAATAATTTATTTATTTGTATGATTTTTTATTTTCATATATGAAATATCAAAATACAATCTTTCAAAATAATTCCATACGTCTTTGTAAATAAAATTTAAATTTATTTATCATACCAAATGAGAAATATCAAACGAAACTATAAATTAGTAGTAAAATAAAAAAAATACTAAATCTATTAATATACCATAAAACCATTTTAGTATATTGTTTTATAGATATGGAAAAAATGTAGAAATTGAGTTTCAAAAGAAAATGAATATGAAAAATATTATAAAAATTATGTCTCGACTTAAACAAAGTATGTATAAAGTTTGAATGTCATTATGATGTTGTAAATAAATACATGAATGGATATCATAATTAAAGTTAAAAGAAGAATATATATTTTATGAATTTGGAAAATATTATATTTGTATATATTAATTTATATTTTTATCATCAAATATTATAAATTTAAAATACTTAAAATTAAATATATGAGAAATTAATAATTACAATACAAATATGACTTTTAAGAAAGCTAAAAAATTTTAAAATCAAATTTATGGTATTGTAGATAACATTTGATTTGGATATATATAATTTAATAAACATAATTAACAACTATTATTTTTAACGTGGAACACATGTTAAATAATATAACTTTTTTTAGCTTTTTATTTTTTGTAATTTACCAATAAGAATATAATTAATTTAATATATTTTCTTATAAAGTATTAATTTTTTTTTCAAGTACCCGTGTAATACACGGGTATCGTACTAGTGGTAATTATTTGATACATCTAAAATTGTTCTCAAGACAATTTTCTGTAGAAGCACTAGTGGCAATATCTTTTGGAAGGTGAAAGCGCCTCGAGACATTATCTTTTTGTATGCATTGTTGGAATTTCACTTGTGAGTCGTCTCACATTGATTTGGTAGGGTAAACGAGCCTAGTTTATAAGTCTAGTGAGATACTCCTCTCATCACCAATTAGTTTTAGGATAAAACCACACTAAGGTGCACTTAGACTCACTCTCTTATGGTGCGCTTCACTGTACGAGACTGCACCCTTGATTCCCTGATTATCAAAATTTGACATGATATAAGAGCGGGCCTAATTTGGGACCTGCGATGATTTAAAATGTACTCGGCCTGATTGTAAGCTTGGACTTATGATGATTAAATATACCCGGTCTGGTTGTAGGTTTGGGCTAATGAAAGACTCAAAAGTGAGGGGGACGTGTTGAAACGTCACTTGTGAGTTGTCCAACATTAATTTGATAGGGTAAATGAGCCTAGGTTATAAAGTTAGTGTGCTATTCCTCCCATCACAGATTGATTTTGGGATGGAACCTAATGTGCACCTAAGTTCAGGTTCTCATGATGCACTTTACTGTATGGGACCGCACCCCTGATTCCCCGATTATCAAAATGCATGATGAGTTTTTGTTGTGGTGAGGTTGTAATGAAATACTATATAAATTATCTTTCTTAGAAAAAAAAAATGTTTGGATCCTTGGTATTAATTGAAATCTATCATTTTATTTTTAGAGTATTGTATTTTTGTGAGGACCTATTAATGTTTTTTTTCTTTTTTGGTTACAAAGACCTATAATTAGGACCGACTCTACTTACATTGTTGAATGGTGCATGTCTCTGTCATGCGGATTGTAGTAGACCAGTGATAAAATAAAAAAAAATACTACAAGTACATAATAAATATATATAGAGATGTACATAACACTCACATGAAGTAAGTCCACTTGATTTTTTATTTTAAGTAGGACCCACTCTATGTGAGTGTTATGTACACCTCTATATACACTACCTATAACATTTTTCCAAAATAAATATTGATAGTAGACCAGTGACAAAATAATTTACGCCTTATTCCGTATCAGGCATGTATAAAGTAAGAATATGAACACGTCATTACATTTATTTATGTTTGAGATACTTGTAAAATAAAATTAGGAATGTACATATAAAGGACGACTTCCACACGGGATGTGTCAAGCCTTTTATCAAATTTTATTTCTTTTAGACCTACTTTTCGTACACAATTTGATTCGTATAAATTAACTCAATTAAATACAACTATATGTACAATAATTTGGATCGAGTTTAAATTTAATAAATCACCCAGGCATTTATCAACCAAATAATTGAACTACATCCTTTCAAGAACATAGAACACGAAATGTTATTGAAATAAGTATAATTTTTAAGTATATATGAAATATGAAATATGATTCTTAAGTATAATCAAATAATTACATGTACAACTACAAAATAAATACAAAACAACAAAATTAGTAATTCCCTAATATCTANGATATTTACTTGATTTCTCTCTCCTTTTTTTTCCTTTTTTTTTCTTAACCTTATTTTTCACTTTCCTAAAAAGGTAATTATTAATTAACAAGCCGCCGACGAATTAGTGAAGGGATTATAGAAGTGCGGCTTGGGAGCCATAACAAAGGCAGCCGTTTTAGCCGCGTTTTCCGAGCCGCCACTGCCACCGCCAATCCTTTCACATGAAGGGCACATAGTTAGCGTGGCGGCGGGAAGCTGCATGTACATAGGCTGAGCCAATTTCAGAGCCTTCAGCTCGTGAAGCTCTTTCTGCAGCCGCCGGTTCTCATCCGTCAGCGTCTCACAGCATTTCTTCAGAAACTCGCAGTCCACCTCTGTTTGCTTCAGCTTTGTTCTGTATTAATTAACCCAAATAAAATAAAAAATATATATAAAAAAGTAATAATCAATAAATTGCATAATTGTTTTTCTTTTCTTTTAACTGATTAGCGTCAGCAAAATTAATTAATACATAAATAAATAAAATTAAGTATGGCTAATGGCTAAAAGTTTAAACACCTGGGCCCTAAAAATATATGGCAACTATCTTTATTGGAAAAGACAATGTTATCTGTTTGGCAACGATCTATATAACGACATACTTTTTTTTAATTAATTAGTAAAGAGTCGTGCGATGCATGGGTGCACAATTTTAAAGCTATTTATCCAGGCTTATAATTATATACATGAATTAAGAAAAATGTACGGGATATATATAGTACGTGACCCGTACACCCGTACAAAGCACGAGATATATTTATTTAGAGAATATTATATTATAAAATGCAATATTTAATAAAAATTTATAATACGCAAGAAAATTGTACAATGTTCAATAAAAGTTTATAATATTCAAGTAGAGTCTTAAAGTCTCTTGTACATTAAGATTACTGACAAAATAATATTTTAATCAATGAGTTTCTTTTCCTTGTAGCCAAATTGTGAATGTGATTTGAGGAGTACAACAAATCGATATATAGTTGACTTGTTTTTTTTATTGTAGGTTTTTTTCTTTTTTTTATAATGAATTTAAAGATATTCCAAAATATAGCAAAAATTAATTTTTTTATTACAATTACGAATTTTACTAAATATAAACTCTCAATCTATGGTGTTAACCCACGTTTAAGTCTAAAATATTAGGAATTTTTACCCATTTTAATCAACGTTTAAGTCTAAAAAACAATAGAATTATTATAAGTTTTTTTAATGTACTCAAATAAAACAAATAAATACTTTAGTAAGTATTTAATGTATATACTAAATAGAAATATATTTGCTATAATCAAATACCAAATATAATCAAATAAGTCAAAGTGTACATTTTTATTTGGTATTTGATTTTTTTATTATTAACATCCTTTTATTATACTTACCTTTTTAAAATAAAACAAATAAATAAATTAATTAAATAAATAAAATATTATAATACCAAAATAGTAATGACATTTAATGCAGTTGACTTTTTTGGATAGTAAATGTAGAAAATAGAATCTCCTTTTATATAAGTATAGATTGTATAATACGGAAATAGTAATGCAATAAATGTTGTCGACTTTTCTTTATACTAAATCTGGTAAATGGTATACCTTTTAATATAAGTATAGATTTGTATACTTGAAAATTAAAATATATATTTTAAAATATGACACATATATATTTATAATATTTCAAAACAAAAAAAAATGTAATTTATTTAAAAAATATATATATGTTCTTTCGACTTGGTTAATGGTTAAGTCGTGCGGCTCATAGAATTTGTGCTAGTTTGATCTCTCAAGTTTTTGGCCAAAATGATAATAAAAATTAAAAAAGAAAAAAAATTCTATCTATTTAAAATATTTTCATTAAGGTATTGATCTAATATTTTCTTTTTCATAAAAAGTTACCTGGCTCTTCTGTTCTGAAACCAAACTTCCACCTGCCTTGGCCTAAGCTTCAACTCCCTTGCCAAATCCTGCTTTTGTTTCTGTTCAACAATTTTATTTCATTAAAAAAGAAAAAGATAAATCAGCAAAAAAATAAGTAAATAAAAAAAAATGGTGCACACTACGTGTTTGTGAAAACTCTCCAGTGAAACACATACAGGATTGAGAGTACTGTGATGCTTGAAGCTTTCCTCCAAAAGCGCCGACTGAGCCTTACTCAGCCGGAGCTTTTTCCGACCGTTAGATCCATCATCGTCCTCGTCGCTGATCCTCGACGATATCGCCCTCTCTCTCTCCACCTCCTCGCTCCCCGGCTCCCTCTCTCTCTTCACGCTGCTCACGTTCGAGAACGACGACGCCGCGCTGTCCTGCCTGTACAGGTCATCGTCGCCGGACGGATCTCGGCGGCGATCGGCGATTTTCCCGCGATTCTGATCGAAATCGGCGCTCTTCTTAGGCGGATCGAATTCGAAGGTTTCGCCAGATAAGCTGAGAGTGAGCGACGGCTCGATTTTACAGAGGAATCCGAGCTTCAGTTGAGCGGGTGGATGAGCTGCTGGCTTCTCGGAATTTTGTTCTCCGGCCGACGACGACGGCGGCGAGAATCCCAACCTTAGAGCCAGGCCGGTGTTGCACATATCATCAAAGCCCATTTATGGTTTGGAATTTTAATTTATTTCTGTTTTTTTTTTCAGTTTTTGGGAGCTGTTGATGTTTTAGGTGTGGGGAATTGTGTACGAAGGGAAAAGGGCGAGTATATAATGAGAGAATTGTGTGTATTTGTGTGTGTATTTGTAGTGGTGGATTTGATTGGTGGGTGGGCGGTTAGTATTCTATGATTAATGATGATCAACAGAATTAATTAAGTATGGGAAGGAATTTTGGGTGATGAAAAATTATCAAATATGAGAAGAAGTCTTTTCTTTCTTTTTCTCTCTCTCACACCAGCCAGGTTGACCATTTGAAACCCCTCTTTACTGTTATGTCACCAAATAATGGTGACCAACTAAAAAAGAAATATCCTATTTTGAGCCCTTAGTTTCATTTTTTTTTTTTTTAAGAAAATCATTGTTTGTATTCAAATTATACTAAGTTATTTTATTTTTGTTTTGCTAATCTTATCTTAATTTAATTAGTTTTGATATCCAACCTTTTATCTGTTAATTAATTTCAATTAATTAAATTAATTATGTCATAAAACAACAAAGCCGCCAGAAATTGCAGAAGAGACGACAAAAAATAGACAAGTTATAAAAAAAAGTCCGAAATAAGAGCCTCAAAAAATAAAGAACATAAGTTGGATTCACATGGAATTTGAATGGGGACGGAAGGCACAATGAGAATGATTCTTGTGCCATTTAGCACGCCAAATTATACTGTTTTTTCACCACTAAATTGAATATGTCTCGTTAATTTTTTTATTTTTTTATTTTTTTCTTGTGATTGAAAATTCTCATAATAATATGGGTTTTTGCAGCATCATATGTGTTGTGCTATTTAACATACGTAATTGCGTTTTCAATCATCACCCAACTTGTGTAAAAAAAGTCAAGTTTCAGTTTTGTGCTCAACGCTTTCATCGCCTTAACTTTTCTTATCGTGAGCAAGATAACACATTTTCACCACTAAAGTAGATCCTTTTTCCCCTTTATTTTCAAATGATAACATGATTTCCCATGTGCCCTCCTATAAGAATATTTCAATTTTGACAATGATTTTTCTCTTGAATTTGGTGGGTTGGGAATATTGGAAAAATCTTTTTTGAGATTTTGGTATAATTATTTTGAAAAGAAAAGGTGTGCGTACCTTTACACATACACTTGTATTTTTATTTATTTATTTTTTAGTTTTTCTTGACAAGTATGATGCAATAATTATACTTTTATTTATCAGAAAAGATTAATAGAGTATTGTAAAATTAGTTACTTTTATTTATCAAACATAATTATCTACTTTTATTTATGAAACACCTAATTATCTTAACACTTTATATAATTAGATAGATAATTCTATCCAGTAGTCAAAGTTGTTCCAATATCAGCTAATTTAATCAACCAAATGTAACCTAAAATTCAATGTGTCACATTAATATCACATCCAATTACGGTTGTTTTAATTTATGGAATTCACATGCAATAATTTTAGTGGTTAAAACGTGAAATTGAGTTTGGAGCAGACCACATGACATGTCTGTGCCTTCTGATTTAACTCTTAATTCTTTTTTTTCTTTTTTTTTTCGAATTTAACTTTTAATCCACAATTTCTTTTCTCACTTTTTCTAATCAACATAATTATTTGACTGTAATGTACTGTCCCACAATGTTGCCAAATTGTGTTAAAAATAGAAACATCAGATAGAGATGCGCACAATTATTTAAAATAAGAAACAAATTATTACTCAATCCATTTTATACGCCTCTTTCATTGCCTGAAAAAATAACTAAAAATTATAAAAGTAAAAGGAAAAAAAAACCAAAAATAAAAAATAAAAGTAGGCCAAACACAACCCAAAGGTGGGTGGTCTCACGGGGTGATGGGAATGTGATTCATAAAACACGAACGAATAGGGATCTTTGCTTAACTAGAAAGTTGATAGGGCGTGTTTGGGACCCACCAATCTGTTCAGGATTGCAAAACACAGTATTTGGGAAAAGAAATGGTCCATTATTATTGTCGGCTATGCTGTGATAGCTGATTATATGAGAAAGTTAGGCATGCATGATTAATGCACCTCTCATGTCATAGGTATATGGCAAATAATAATATTAATCAATAATCGATGTGCATTTCCTTAAATTTTTCGCATTATCTCCGACTAGGTGGTATTTACCAATTTGTCCTTACTTGCCTGAATAATCATTATCATTAATATTGAAGTACATTAGTGGTTCCAAGACTTTTATCGCAATTCCTGTAAGTCAACATAACCGTGGCCGTCAGGCCGTGGAGTGGCTAATCAGTATATTTGTTTAACAAAAGTATATAATTTTATTATAACATTAGCAATTCATTAGGTGCATATGCACATATTGCATAATAAATAAACTTTGTAGATAAAATTAAAATTAATATAAAATGTTATTTAATAATATGTATCCAGGGGCGGATGCAGTATATGACCAGTGTGGGCCTCGGCCCACACTGAATAAAATAAAGTGAGCACTTCATTAGGTGTCATATAAACCTGATAAGTAAATAATAAAGTGAGCACTTCATTAGGTGTCATATAAACCTGATAAGTAAATGGGCCTGCTGAACAATGATATTTATCTTTAGATTAATTGGATATATATTGCGCACTTTGATTAGTTTGCGTGCATTTAGTTATTGTTCCATAATATCATAGTTTCAATTGATTTGTGTATGGCTTTTGCTAATGATAAGATTTTATGGCTCTACAATTTCTTATTTTTTTTTGGTTAAAATTGACATATTCTTATTAAGAAGGGTTGTTGAAATTAATGTTAAAAAAAGAAATACTAACAAAAGTAATTATATTTTAATTAAGTTATTGATGTCAACATATAAAAAAAATTGGTTTCGACTTGTGTATATTTGATGTCGGGTTCGTTGGCGCGTTTAACATTGATTTGATTATGATTTTGTTTTTTCTTTATCATGTTTAAAAGCGAACTTCTATTGAAACTTGAAATAATTACGTTTACCATTTTAAAATTTTGAAATTTTTTTAAATGTGTGTGAAAATAGTAAAAGAGGTGTTTAATTATTTCATTATAAAAAAATGATTTCACGGTATAAAAAGTCATGTAATTTTTTTTAATGTTTTGAAATGTGTGTGAAAATAGTAAAAAGAGTTGTTTAATTATTTCATTATAAGAAACGATTAAAAGCTATGAAAATTCTTGTGTAATAAATTGTAAATTTTATGTTTTTTCTTTGAATTTTTAATTATAATGTACAATATCTAGTATCTTTTAAATATTAGGCCCCCACTCGTTTATATGGCTAGATCCGCCCCTGTATGTATCATATCTGAATTTAGATTTTAATAAAAAAAATATAAATTTGGAATTTGTCATATATTAATAATAATCAGTATATGAAAATAATAAATAATATAGTTTTATACATACTTTGAGTATTATAATAATCGCCCCTATATATAATTCCCGAATGCTCTGAGCCTAAGTGGCAGGTTCGTGTGTTTCGTAAGCTTATGTGGGCTAGAATAATTCGATTTCCAAAAACAAAAATCGAACGGATCCTCCATGGCTTAGACTTAGAATTTATAAATCAATTAAAATGCTAAAAGAATAAATAGAACTTGAAATAAATAAACTTGCTATTTATGGAACTAAAGTCGAGCTCATAAATGCTAAAAATGTTCGGGGCGTTACAAAGTTGGTCTTCACTCATGTAAACGACAACCCTGGAGCTGGGTCGAGGAGGAGAGTCGATCTCAATTACTACGTCAGACTCGTCGATCAGGCGGAGAGGTCGAGGAGCATGGGGCGTAGTCCAGAAGAAAAAGGACTGAAGTAGGTGGAAGAATAGCAGGACGAGATGCAATATGAGAGGGTTTGAGGACAGGTTCAAGAGGAGAAGAAGAAGAGGTCCAAAACAAGCTCGGGGAACTTATGTCTAGGCTGATGGAGGCAACAAAGGACTCGTTGGTGGCGCATGAGGCACATGAATCTAAAATATAAATACACACACACACACATACACACACACATATATATATATATATATATATATATATATATATATAGAGAGAGAGAGAGAGAGAGAGAGAGAGAGAGAGAGAAGAAATCCTTTTTAGGGTTAGAAGAAGTTATATCGAAAGAAATTCATAGACATGGTCGAAGATTGGTTTATCAGAAAACTGAGAAAATGGTGGTCAACGGCGAAACAATGACAACAAAGAAATTGATTTTTGCAGACGACGTAAGAGCACAACAACAATAAGATAATGTTTCTCAGAGGTGGAAAACTTGAAAATGAATGTTAAGAGTCGTATTTATAAGTGGGGAATAAGGGATCCGAAAAGGTCAAGAGACCCCCAGCTGTTTGATGGGGCTCAAAACGGACGATTAAGATTGGAAAAGCAAGAAAAAGGTCAATTTTAATTTAGCCATTAGATCAAACATGGAATCGACGGAGGAGATCAAGAACAAGGAAGAGGAAATTAAAACAAAATGTCCACAGCCGTTAGATTAAAGAAAAATAGAGGGGTATTATTAAAGCCGTAATAGTGGACGAAGGCAACACAGACTGCGAGGTGAAGATGGCAATATGACGTTTGTAATGACTTGATCTGACAAGTGTAGGGATATTAAATTCAAAATTCAAAGGCTGCAAGAGGAGGTCAAAAAACGTTGCTTCACAATTGAAGTTAGTATGAGCAATTTGGTCGAAAAATAAAAGTTGGAACTCACAAAACAGGCTCAAAAAGAAAAATCTACTATTAGATCGAGTTATCTTAACTCAACCAGAGTAGGGGGACTAGATGATATGTGATACCACACCGGGTAGAATAAACCTGCCGGCCAGGCCAGACAAATTGGTTGGTCGAACATAAGCACATGTAGGCCGAACAGAAATTGAATGTGGGATTCAGGACAATGAGTCCTCAGGTGAAGGAGGACATTACAGGTTCAAAGGGACACCAACAGGTTTAGTTAGGGTCCTTAGATGGCCTGGGTGAAACTCGAATTGAAGGCATAACTTGTCGAGTGGTCAACCAGATGGCCAAGATACGGAGCTCAACCTACGCAACATTCTACCTCGAGGTGATTTGGATCAGTCGCACAGTTACACCGTCGAATAAAGTAGACTAGTGGATAAAAAAGGAATATTATCTAGATAAGGACCACAAGTGGATAGGGCCATATGGCCTAATAGAATTGGACAGTTCGGACAGTACGAACGGGCAGTTCGGCAAGTTTGGGAAGCTCATCCAGACAG